GGGTCCCCCGAGCTGGTGTGAAGGATGGGGCGGTCTCAATTTGTTGGCTTCAGGAAGCTGGAAATAAAATGCTTCACGTGGCGGAAGGTGGCTGCAGTGGAGATCCCGCAGTGATCTCCTGGGAGGCAGATCCTTGCGTTCCCCTGAACTGACATCGCCTTCCCACCCGGCAGGTCTTGCATTCCTTTTTGCTCGTTAAAGGCTACTGCTCCTCGGGTTTTATATCTTTTCTTGGAAGGGGAGTGTGAGAAGTAGGTAGGATTAAGACATACCAGCATGTGGGTGTAAGTGGGGAAAGGAGATCTTTCTTGGAGTTCTACAAATTAGATGAGAATTTTCTAATTCAAGTCTCAAGTCTTATTCTGAGTTTCTAACACTGCCTGATCAGAGCACTGTGTGTGGGTTTGAACTCTCCTTCCACTTTTACAGGGCTGTTTAACTCGTGCTGTATTTTTGTGTTGTGGACCAGAGAAAGACCTGGGTGTGTTGTGTTTGTATTGTCGAACTTTTAATTCAGGCTTGCTCTTCATTTAGCAGTTTGTGTTAAAGTGGGTTTGGTCCAAGGTGTAGGTCACCTCTTTTTCACTTGTCTGTGACAAGAGGTCTCAGCTGTTGTGTGGAGCTGCAGGAGAGCCTGTCTGTCAGAGAGTTTTGCTCGGGTAGCTGTTCTGTCCAAGCCCATACCTTGAGATTGAGTGGTCCTTTAGTGCTTTACTTAGGCTGTATTAGTGTTTACATCAGGCCATGCCACTCTGCCTTGGCAGTGTGCGGAACAGTTGCGAGGTCTTTCCATGCTATATATAGAAAAAAAAAAAACCCTCCTTTTGAGGATTGACAATCCTTGCGCCTTTACCTCTCCAATAATAAACTCTGTAGCAGGAGTGTATAACTGCAGATAAATCTATTTCTGAAATGCTTTTTTTACACTCTGCCTTTCTTCTGGTATAGCCTCACAATTCTGGAAGATTCTTATCCATACAATATTTGTGATTATCCCTGGGATTATATGATAGTGATGATCATGGCTAAACCCTTCCAAGCATTGTTTGAAAGGAGATGGAGGCCAACCCAGGAAAATGGGAATAAGGGCGTGCAGTTGCCTGGGCCCATTGTATATGGCCTGGTGGTTCCAAATCAACTGCTTATGTTGTTTCTTCTAAGCAGTTGGTTGTCCCAGATCTTGCTGCAGTCATGATTGTCACTTGTTGTGTTATTGGTGTAGTGAGATGAAATTCATGCAGTTTGCAGAGAGGAGGAAGCAGGTACGAGCTTAACGGGGAAGAATTTATTCACTTTGTGAAAGGAAATAAGCACTTGGTACGTGGGGGCTTGCAAAAGGCAAACGCCAATAAATCTCTGTGGCTCTCTGAAGGTCTTGTCGCATTCTAAAAGGCTGAGTGATGACAGCCCATTTTTTGCAGTAGAAATCTCTTTCCTAGTCCTCTTCATCCTGTTGTTTTTTAACTCCCATGAGCTGGTGGTTTTTCTTACAGCGCTTTTGCTGTGGTGTGTTTTGAGAGTCTGAAGGGGATGTTTTCTGGCCTGCTGGAAGGCAATGCTGAACCTCTGCTATTCTGCTCTTCCAGCAACATGCAACATGGCAGCAGCCATGGAAACTGAACAGCCGGGCCTTGAAATCTTTGAAACTGCGGGCCGTGAGGAGCAGGTCCAGAGGGAAGAGCAGCCAAAACTGGAACCTTTCTATGTAGAGAGACATTCCTGGAGCCAGCTTCGGAAACTGCTCACAGACACACGGAAGTATCATGGGTACATGATGGCAAAAGCCCCTCACGACTTCACGTTTGTGAAGAAAAATGATCCCGAAGGACCTCATTCCTATAGGATCTACTATCTAGGTAAGCTTGCTGCGACAGCCTGTGTCTTGACTGAACACTCGTTGCAGAGGCGGTTCGGATTTGACTGTTCTTGAGAGCTGGGTGTTTCTGGCAGTTAAATCAGAATGGATTTCAGGCCAGATTGGCTGGTCAGATGTCACGATCGTGATCATAATGTCTCATTAAAACTTGCCGTGTGATCTCCCACAGAAATGATGTGGTTGGAGGTGACCCATTAGGCCTGCTGGAGCTGGAAGACAACTGGGAAGTGTCCTTTGGGGGTTGTTCACTCGGTGGGAGGATGGGTTAAGTCTGTTCAGTCTGTTTTCTCTCGCACAAAGTACGATATCCCTCCTCTGAAAACTATGTCAGCTTGATCTCCTTTCTCTTAATTACAACTAGTGGGTAGAACCTTTTCCTCCTTCAAAGTTTCCTTCCAAAACAAAGATTATGAATGTAATTTTGAGAGTCCTTTGTGCCTTGGATACTGATGGAGTGGGTATCCCAGGGATTCTGAAGGGAATAAATAACAATGTAGGGTGGGGGCAGCTTGAAGAGTAAATGTTTTTCTCAACATTCTTGGTCTTGATAATGAAGAACTTAATGTCGTTTATTGTTCTTGGCCTCAGTGCCTCATTTCTGCATTGTTTCACTAATCGGTGTTCACTTGATATATCTGCATTTCTAAATTGCAGCTGTGCTTGAAGTGATTTGGCACTATAAATGATGCCGTGAGGAAGCTTCTGGGTGGCTTTTTGGAGCAGACCTTGTGGTAGGGAGACGCTTCTGTCGAAAGCTGCACTAACTGAACGTAAATGCAGGAAAAAAATGCATAGGGGGAGAAGCAGTGGCCAGAACAAATACCTAGGAGCCAGAACTGCATGTGCTGTGCAGTGACATAGTCATGAAGCTGCTGCTCTGTCTCTTTTTCCCCTTTTCAGAGGACGGAGGTCGTAATCCTTGAACGATGTTGAGTTCAAGCACATTGGAGGAGGGTTAAGGCTGACTCCAGCTGAGAGGAGCTCGTTTGCCATTTCCTGAGCTATAGGTCAGGCTTCGCCTTCCCTGGGCTACATCTGGCTCCCACTGGGCTGATCCCCATGTGCCTTGACAGAAATCTGAATAGCACTGAGGGAAAGGAGCAGGGAAGGGATGTTCAAACCTTCCTGAAGACGCATTATCTTTGAAACACAAGCTGCATCGTGCTGTATGTCAGCTGGGGGAATTAGCATTGATTTTAAAAGCTTATAAAGGGCCCTTAGCCTTCGAGACGACAGATATGCATCAGGCAGCATGGGGTAGGCCTGGGCATGTTTCCTCGTTCTCTGCCTTCTCAGTGACGTTCATTTCTGTGAAGCAGGGAATTCTCAGAGTGAGGCTGCAGTGCAGAGACCATTAGTACTTTCTCTCATAGCAAGAGCCTGTGAAACTGTTGCTTGTTATGCTTTTGAGTGTGGTTTTTTTTTATTAACAGCAAGTTAATCTACTTTTTTTTTGTTTTTTCCTCACTTTCACAATAGCGATGTCTGGGGAGAACAGGGAGAACACGCTCTTCTACTCTGAAATTCCCAAAACCATAAACAAAGCTGCTGTGCTGTTGCTTTCCTGGAAGCCTCTTTTGGATCTTTTTCCGGTGGGTTCTTATTTCTTTCGTGCTTCTTGGCAGCCTAGCAAGTACACAGGCTTTGGGATTGTACCTATAAGGCATCATTAAAATTTGGAGGTTATTGTCTTAAACATTTTAAGATTCTCCTTGTACCTGGCTGACGCTGCAGCCGTCCTGAAAACAAGCACAGTGTTCTCACCTGCGTTTGGAGTTACGGCCTTTGTGTGTCGTAAAACTTGTGTTCCTCCTTTGCTGGCAGAGACTGCGAGTGCTAATTTGCATCAGATTCTCTCCTGTGGGATCCTGGGGATTGCCGAAGGAGCCTTGAGTCTCCAACAATCGCTGTCTTGCAGGGGGAAGTGATGAGTGTGCCCTGAGCATCAGTCAGTGGTTTTGTGACTCATGCTGGAGCAGAGGATCCCTTTCCCTCTCACTAGCACGCGTGTTCCCTTTTCACCTCTGTGCCTGGCAAGCCTGCACCACTCCCACCCCAGGCGCTGTGGCAGGTTGGAGGAGGTGGGGGGAAAAAACCTCATGTGGAATTAGGTGTAGGGGTTTTTTCCCATCTTATTTCCTGAGACTGTCAGCCAGAGAAAATCCGTGCTGAGCTCTCATCCCATCAGACCGGTCACTGTTTATCTTTGCAAAAGTTAGCATCCCGTTCATTCCAGATGTAACTACACCTTCAGACTGATGAATATTAGAAATAATGCCCGCCCTGCTCCGGGAGAAGTGGCTGTCAGGTTTACGGTTGTTGTCAGGTTTACGGTTGTGTAGGATCCCGTCACGGCCTGCACCTACAGGCGCTGAAGACAGAGGCACGAGCAGGAGCAGGCTTCTGGCTGCCGGCAGGATTCTGGAGGAGGAGGGTGTCTGCACAGCCATCTGCTCCTGGAAGCTTGGCATGCAGAGATGCCCTGACGGTATCTAGTAAGACACACAGAACAGAGGTGTTGATTGTGCTTCTTTGCCTGTATTCAGGCCATCCTGGACTATGGGATGTACTCTCGTGAGGAGGAGTTGCTACGAGAGAGGAAGCGAATTGGCACCGTCGGGATCGCCTCTTACGATTACCACCGAGAGAGTGGCACCTTTCTGTTTCAAGCTGGGAGTGGAATTTATCATGTGAAAGATGGAGGCCCTCACGGATTCACTGTGAGTTTACTCATCTCTCGTGTTTTCTGCAGTCCTGCTTTCCTCTGGCTAGAAACTCCTTTAGCTTGCAGCGAAAGTAGAGTGCGATCATCAGTTGCTGCTGCGCTGGCGTGGCAAGCAGCCTTGATAAGCCTCGAAACGTGGAGAAGTCTTCCATAGGGATGCGTTTCCACGGTTGTAGAAACTCAGGTGGAGAATTACAAGAAATGGTGGCAGCGAGGCAGGACGCCAGATTTTGTGAATTTTCGCAGGTAGCGACGGCAGGAAAAAGTGACACAAAGCTGTGATGCTCCATGCTCTTTCCTGTAGTCAGAAGTCACGTCAGAGGCAGCTTTTGTTCCCCAGCTCTGGTTTAGAGGTCACTGTTGGGCAGCCGTTGCTGTGCGTGTTACGAGATTTGGCTGTGTAACTTGCAGAACAAGCAACCTTTATTCTGCTGGTGCTGAAGCTGGACTTCAAAGCTGAAATAATTTCTTATTATTACAACAGATGCTCAGTGTCTGTCTAACTCTGTTGTCAGGGGGAATTTACTGTACCCTGCGTTGCTTTTGGAAGACAAGATTGTATGTTCTGCCAGCCCCTTTTTATGGTGCTGTTTTTAAGAGTGTGCCAGGCTTCTCTAGGCAAGCTGCCTTCTGATTTGTGGCTAATCCGCAGCACTGGTGAAAGAGGCCCTGGTGGGATCTGTGCAACCACAGTAGAAACACACCTTTCCCTATAAAACATCTGCCTACTATTTTTCTGTGTTTAAAATTGATAAATTCCTGTGTTGTCAAACAATGTATCTGAAGTCGGTGTTCACGCTACTGTGGTCTTAGAGACTTGATAATCCCAGTTAGTTTCTCTAAGTGTCCATGTGTTATCATTGCTTACTGTGCCTTTTTTTTTTTTTCTTTCAAACAGCAACAGCCTTTAAGACCCATTCTGGTAGAGACCAGTTGTCCAAATATCCGGATGGATCCCAAGCTTTGCCCAGCTGATCCAAATTGGATTGCGTTTATCCATAGCAATGATATCTGGGTATCTAATATAGAAACCAGAGAGGAAAGGAGGCTAACATTTGTGCACAATGGTAATGCATCCCGAATTAAAATGTTTCCACCTCCTCTGCACTTGTTCTTGCTAGACTGAATTAAGCAATGGCACTAGGGGTTCTGCTGAAATCTGGGGGAATGGCCACTGTTCATTCCACCTTGCTTGTCACGTTCGATGTGTTTCCTCTAGTGCCGATATTGTGGGATGGTTCTTTTCCCTGCACTGTGGAATCTGGCAGAATGAGTTATTTGTTCAATATATGTGGAAGGGCTCCTCTACTGAAGCGTAGCGCGTTCCTTTTTACTGGAACAGCCTTTTTTTTGTGTAGGGGTACCTGTGGGTGGAATAGAGCTGGAGGAAAGTTTCTGTCAGTGAAGTCAGCCTGCAGGGCCGTTTGGGAAGGATATAGACAGTTTCTGAACAGCACCATGGCTTCTGCTGGCCCCTCACACTCAGTAACTTAGGTCCTCAGTTCTTGCCCTCTCCAACTCTGGTTTAGACATGTATCCTGAAGGAAGGAAAATGGGAAATTGTGGATAAAACACTTCAAAAATCAAGTGTGTTTTGTATTTAAATCATACTTTGTATTTAAAGTATATAATTTAAATTTTAGTTAAATTTCTGACACTTTATAATAATGCTTTAGCTTATTTAAATGTTAAATATTAAAATATTATGTAAGTACATTAAAAATAAACTGTAGCAATGACTCCTTCTCAGATGATAATTATTTATGGAGCGCTGCTAAGTTACCTCCAGGGTAACAGGAAAAATATTGAAGCCCTATGGATATGTCATCATGTTGAGATGTTATGTAAGTCTGTTACTTTTGGTTTGTACAGTGAATGAAATACTGATGCTTTTGTTGTTCTGAATGTTGATATTTTCAGTTTCAGTTGTTCAGAAGAGTTTGGTTTGTGTTTTTTTGGTTTTTGTTTTTTTCTTGGATTTTCTTAAAAGTTGTGGTTCCAATTCACTGAGCTCAGGTAGAGAGAACATTTTCTTTCTTCGATGAGTACATAGGAAATTGAGAGACTAATTGGGTAGGAGTAAGAAGGGAGAATGACTTTCCTTTCCTAAAAGAAGCTGCCATGTCAGAGGGGATTAGATCCTCCATAAATAAATCGACAGAGCAGGGTGGAAGCAGAAAACAAATCTGCTGAGAAGTCAGATTTTTCGTTGCGTAATTGTTCCCCGAGGGGTGAACTAGGGCCGTGTTTGGGATAATGCAGAACTGGTTTGATTCTGCAGTACATCGTGAGCTAATTCGTTTGAGTCTTTTTTTTTTTTAGAACTGGCCAACGTTGAGGAGGATCCGAAATGTGCCGGCGTGGCCACTTTCGTGCTTCAGGAGGAGTTTGACAGATACACTGGCTACTGGTGGAGCCCGAAGGCAGAGCCGAGTAAGTGTGGTGCATCCAGCGTGTCTGATAGGCTCAAGTAGCGGCCCCGCTGCTGTGCTGTCCAGTGCAGAGTTATTTTTTATCTGTACTTGTCTTTGTGCAAGATAGGAACTTGTAGTTCTGTTTGAACTATCTGCAGCGGTGGGCATGTTACAGTGGCAACTTGTGAACGCGTGTTACTGGGGGAAGAGACTTTCCTTTTGACAACAGTGGTAGGAGTTGTAAGAATCTCGGAGGTGTTTTGCTTAATGAAACGTGAATCACAGACTTTGTTGGATTTTGCTTCATCTTTCCAAGCTGCTTGTGCTCCTCAGAATATTGATGCCTGCGATGAATGATAACGAGAGCTCTTCTGACCAGGAAATATTAATTCATTTGCAGCACTGAATGGGGGTAAAGTTCTTCGAATTCTTTATGAAGAAAATGATGAGTCAGAGGTGGAAATTATTCATGTCACATCGCCCATGCTGGAGACGAGAAAAACAGATTCTTTCCGATACCCTAAAACTGGTGAGGAGACTTTGATGCCTTACATCTCTGTTTCTGGGGGACACGTATTTTCTTCCACGTGCCTGACAGTAGTGACTCTCGCAGCCTAGAGCAGGGGATTGTCGGAGAGGTGTCAAGTAGTCTTTAGATTGGTGTCCAAGTAGTGGGAATGCGTTTGGGGAAACTGCTGCTGTAGACGTTAGATTGGTCACTGGCAACCGTGCTGATATTCCAGCCACGGTGTTACTAAGAGCTCCAAGTCTGGATCTCTTGGAAGTTGACAGAAACCTTATCTGATTGTCACTAGTTTGGAGCTGCTGTCTCAGATCCTGCCAGACCTGAGTTCTTGAGAAGCTGGTTCTCGTTACAGGCCTGTGCCCCTGAGGGAGTAGCTGCAGATTTGTGGCCGCCTGCTTTTTTGAGAGGGTTTTTGTTTAGCTCCTGGCAGTGGCCTGATGGTTCGTGTTCTGAAGGACTCTGGTTTCTGTGGTTGCTCTTGGACTTCGAACAACAAACTCGGCATGCTTACAGCCTACCAGGGAAAGTCCGTGTCATCATGTTTTCAACCAGCAGATGATCTGGCAGCTTCAGCAGTGAGGGGCTGAGAGCAGGCTTGAAGCATGTTACGTGGAGTGTCATTGGAAGCAGGGAACGGGATTTAAGCAAACCTGCTGAGGTCTGATTCACTGTTGGGTATGTGGGGCAGATTTGAATAGTCTGACCCTCGTTTTTCTAAGACTTCCCTGCTGTTACACTAGAGCATGTTGCTCACAGACAGCAGTTATTCGCTCTCTTTCCTCACTCCTGAAATCCTCATTTTTTTTTTTGAGAAATACATTCTGTTTGACTGACCTTCCCAAACTGCAGAATTCATTCAGAGCCTGCAGATTCCCTGATCCACTAGAAAAAGTTTTCTGCACATGATCCTGATTTACTACTTGTTTTGAGTAGGAAGAAAGGCTCAGTGTTAGCCTGGGAGGTGAGAGATGACTCCTCATGGGTTTTTGGCACTTGTGTATGCCCAGATTTCTGAGAGTATTTTGTCATAGCTCTGTTCAGTGCTGTGTTCTGCACTTGGGGAAAATGGGCCAAGCAAAGACCAAATCCCTTTTTAAAAACAAATAATAAAATAAAATCTCTTGGCCTTACTTTCCAGTCTGAGCTGCAGGGGCAATAGCCCTTTTCAGTGGGTTGTTCTGAGGGCAAAGCTTGAGAAAAGTTGAGAAAACAATTTGTGTAAAGAGTTAACTTTAGATTTTCAGCCTTCAACACAAATGTGTCCCGTTGTTATCTTAACCACATTAGTCATAGGAGTAGGTTTTTAAAAGAGTGAATTGCTCTAATTTTCCAAGATGCTTTTTAGCACTGGCTCACTTTTTATGCATGACCTCGAGAACAGCAGCCAAACGGCAAACCAAAGCTTGCTTTGCTACCCCGATCGCTTGCGAGCATTTACTGCCAGCTGGTCTGTGTGTCCTTTGGCTGTGGGAGAGAAGACTGCCCGTGACAGTAGCAGTGTTTGCAGGCTTACATCCACTGAGTCTGCCTCATGTTTGCACTCTCTTTTTTTCCTGCCTGGTTCTTTGCTGTCTCTCACATGTGCAGGTAGGCTATTTGATCAAAGAGCATTCTACTGTTTGCTTTTTCACGTTCTGTATTGAATAACACCACAATAATCCACAGTTCAGGTCTGCCCTCTTGGAAGCAAACGCTTGGTGCCTGACTGCTAACATCTGTTTTTATAGGTACGGCAAATCCAAAGGTCACTTTCAAGATATCTGAAGTGACAATCAATGCGGAAGGCAGAGTAAGTTCAATGTTCTGCTTGTTTTCCAAACAAATACAATTTCTCTGATACTCTTTTTTTGGTAAAATTAATCTTCCAGTTCAGTACAAACAAACTTTCTTGGGTTTAATAATGGCTTCTCTGGAGACAGTGCACTTGGCTCATTCATGTGCAGATACTTGGTGTCTGTGTGTGCAGCAGGATTTCTCAAGGCTCTGCTTTCCTTCTCTACCACTGGTTTATGAACTCAGCTGCAGAGCAGAGTATTTTAGGTGTGGGTGGTTAGAGCTTCTTATGGGATGGATCTCTTGATGGGCTGTGGATATTAGGAAAATTTGATTGCAAAGACAACATATCACCTTAAAAAGTGTGAACCTACGGAAAGAGATGAACTTTGATTTTGCCCCAGAATTTTTTAAACAGATGCAGAATTTCCGTAGCCTAGTTCAAGATCTTTGCACAGTTGGGAAGTTAATCTTACCAAACAGATCCAGTAACAGCCGTACGTTGTTGGGATCCTCTCTGCTCTCGAGCTCCTTCAGTCCTCAGCAGTCACCTGCTGGTCAGCGATGCTGAGATCAGCCAGCGAAGGCAGGGAACGCTGTCACGACCCTTTGGGTATGATGGTGACTTGTTCCCAGTCCCAGCAGGGTTAGACTGCAGAACTGCATATCGTGAGTTAGAACCACGTTGATAACTGGATGTCGAGCAGGATGTTCTCAACATCTACAGATGAAAACATCTTAGAAAATAACTTGGTACAAAATCGCCGCTTCTCCTTTACACGGAGAAACTTGAGTGTTCAAGTGACTTGTCTGAGACGAGCGATGGATTTGTGAGCAGCATCTAGATCTCTGGAGTCGCAGCGCTGGCTGTGCTGGCAGCGTGCAGCTCGCACTGTTCTGGTGTCTGGCTGCCAACAGGGTTGAATCCCCTGTGTTGGAAAGGCTGAACGATCTAAATTGCATGAGCTACGCAGAAGAAGTCTTCTGTGTCCAGACTCTCAACATGCATGAAAAATTGGTTGTGGGGGTTCATCTCAGTGTCACTGAATTGCTGCTTTGTCAACAGATTGCAGATGTTGTGGATAAAGAGCTAGTTCAGCCGTTCGAGATCCTCTTTGAAGGAGTAGAGTACATTGCTAGAGCTGGGTGGACGCCAGAAGGAAAATAGTGCGTATGTTAATCCTGTCTCTGCTTAGAGGGTTTGGGGCAATGCAGTTAGAAGCAGAATGTAGCGGTCTCTGCCTTCTCCAAGCTTAAGCCTGCTTTCATTTTTACGTTTCTACAATCTCGTTTGTGCAGAGGGGACGATTTTTCCCGAACCAAACCAGAGTTCTCGTCTCTTTCTCTGGTACCTGGCCCTACTGCTTTGGTATCGGGCACTCACAGCCTTTGATGTTTGTGTCCTCTCAGCATCCCTGTGAGAGACAGTGCAGTGCTATTGTCCCCATTTTACAGATGGGGACCTGAAGCCCAGAGAGGCTCAGTGACTTGCCATGGTCACACGGGAAGTCTGAGGAGAGAAATGAGCCCAGGTCCCCCAGGCCCTAGGCTAGCGCCCTAACCACTGGACCATCCTTGCTGACCAGACTTACTGATCAGAAAACCGGCTGTAAGTGCTACTTACATTTGCATGTCATTTTTTTAACCCTGTAGATGATGTAGTACAGTGTTTCTAACTCGCCAGAAGCTTCTCCAGAATTGCACTTCTCCAGTTCTCAGAGCTAAAAGTGGCCTTTCTAATTTCCCGCCCCCTCCCCTCCCCCCCCAAAAAAAGTGAAAGAAATACAGGGGATATTTACTGCATTATTTTGCTTTTTGTGGGATTATTGTTAGAGGTCCATGCAAATCAGAAGCATGGCAGAGCCTGCCGCAAGTCCATTTAGGTGCCAGTGTTATTCTCTGCCACGTATAGATTTAAAACATCAGTATTTTCACAAGCATCCTGAAATTTCCACTGAAATTTTCTGCTTCATTATTCCCTCTGATTTTTCTCTTCTCTTTCTCCCCTGAAGCACAATTGAAATCTGGGAGAATAGAATTAAACTTTTGAACCTGCAGTGCTTATGCAATATTGAAATGAACTGAAATAGGTTCTTGGGTATGGAAGAGATTTGTTTATGTGGGTGAAATTTGACACATGGCTTTGTGCTTAATCCGAAATTGAATGTTCTTGACTCCCTCAAAATGCCTTAGTGCTAATGAGTGTCTGTCGAGATTTTCAGGCCTGTCTAATCCTCATGGTTGCGTGTTTATTTTCTCTAATATCTGTCTCCCCAACAGCATCTGGTCCATCTTACTGGATCGCTCCCAAACCCGGCTTCAGATAGTCTTGATCCCTCCTGCATTATTCATCCCCACAGAAGATGATGCAATGGAAAGACAGAAACTTATCGATGCTGTGCCAGATTCTGTTACACCTTTCATTATTTATGAAGAGACAACAGACATCTGGATAAATGTAAGAATTTGAATTTCAGCCTTCTCGGACAGTTTGTTGTTCAAGACCCTGTTTGTAGCACTTGAGCAACATTGGTATTACGGTGCTGCCCAGGCAAATGTTCCTGTTGTGCAAGTTCTGTGCATGTTCTGTGCTTCTTGTTGTAAAAACTAGTATGGATTTGGGATGTGAAGGCAGAGCCACTTTGCTTGAGCCTGCGCAGTGATCAGACAGCTGAGAGCAGAGCCCAGGGCTCTGGCATCACAGGGCAGCCCCTTTGCCTGCAGTGTTGTTACTAACCTCCAGCTTCTTGGCACCAGTTGTTCACCGCCAGCAGGTTGAGTATTCTTCAGCCAGCGAAGCTGTATCTGGATGACACTGGGTGAACACATCCCGAGAGTCTGCTAGCGGTCACTAAACCCCCTCCTTAACTACATACGGTCTGGTGAAATTAATTAGCATGTCATGTTCTCGGACGTGTGCCATAGGGCCTGTGCCGTGAGAGTGGACACTGGTGCGTAAGCTAACGCTGTAAAAACAAGGGCTGTTCACACTTGTGCAGATAAAGATCGATGCCTCGAAAATGACCTCTGGTTGGAGGGGTGCCAGGCTGTAGGAAGGCCTGGGAGCATCAATCCCTGACAGGTAGTTGGATCTTTCAGCGGGGAGCTTTTGCAAAAAGCCTCCCAGTGAATGGTCCCTATATAGCAAGTGCTCTCTAGGGTACCACGTTTTCTTAGTAATAGTGTGCATGGTTTCAGACTGGTGCAGCGAGTTTTCCTTTCTCCATTATTTTTACTGGCTGGAGAGGTTTTTGACTGGCAGCTCATACTGTGCAGATAAATGCTGTCTCAAAAGATTGTCCAAGTTGGTGTCTTCATGAGTGGAAAGATGATGTCATCTTATCTTTCCCCTGCACTTGTGGGCTTCTAGACAGTGCTAGGTAGAGGGGGTCACTGAACTCTGATTTCAGTGAGAGGCTCTCCTGTGCTGTCTTGCACAGCTGGGCCAGTCTCTGTCTAAGCTGGACCAGTCTCTGTCTAAGCTGGAAAGGTAGACGCAGAAAAACTTAATTAGTTTTGTCAGAATTTAGAGTCAGATGAGCAAAACACCTGAAGCTGTGCAACATACGTGGCTACTGTCTGCAGACAGCCCCCCGCTCAAGAGCAGGACTGGTTCTCCCAGTAAGGGACAGTGCTGCACCTTGATAGTGTGAACTGTGGGGTCTGCATTGAGCAATTAGAGCAGGTTATTATGTGACTTCAGTGACAAAGTCCTGCTGATAACAGTGATCCACTGCTTTGACTCCACAGATCCATGATATCTTCTATGTTTTCCCTCAAACCCGTGAAGATGAGATAGAATTCATTTTTGCCTCTGAGTGTAAAACAGGATTCCGGCACCTCTACAAAGTCATCTCAGTTTTGAAGGAGAGCAAGTATAAACGGTCATGTGGAGGCCTCCCCGCTCCGAGTAAGTGAAATTAGTCTTTTCCTTTAATTGGGCGTTTGCTGCTGACTAGTGAGGAAATAAATGTCCTTCCGGGTGACAGGAATTACTGTCTTATTGGAAACTCCTGCTGTTGTTCAGGAAAGCACTTTGCTGCACAGTCATTCCTCTTGAAATCGTACAGGGGTTATTCTGTATTCACCATGCCTTAGTTTTTAACCCCAATTCTTCCTCACGCACTAGAGGGAGAAGTTTCAAAAAATCAGCTGGGAAACGAGCTCCCTGTGTGACGCTGTGAAATACACTCTGTTGGCTTTTCCTTGTCAACGTTGGGACGGTTTGTGCGCTGACTTTGCCAGAGGTTAATCATTACAGCAATGACACGGCTGCCTCAGATGTGCTGGGTCCAGTTTATCTGATAGGCATTGGTTGCACGTTGGTTCAGGACTCGATTTTGCAAGTAAAACCGACATAGTCTTTGTCAGCCTGCACAAGCGGGTTGGTAGCAGAGAGGCTGACAGAGCACAGCTTGAACACGATCTAAAAAGGTCCCTGGATGGTCTCCCTGTCTGAGTGTGCCCACACATTAGTTCCCTTAAAGTGAACTTGTGTGCTTGGCAGCAAAATCTATGATATGACAGCTGTTCAGAGAATTCCTCTCTGGTCCTAAAAACGGTCACGGTGTTGCTGTATAGACGGAGATGTTGGTGGGAGAGAATTACTGGCAGCAAATGGAAATGAGGAAGAGTCATTTCAAGCAAAAAAAAAAAAAATTCAAGGAGCATGTGTGCCTGATCTTGCTCAGGTGTGTGATATAGCTGTGTGCAAAGCTCCCGGAGTGGTTTTTCCACAGCACGTGTTCTTTAATTTACAGTTTCGTGCTGTCATTCTTTATTTACTTGGGGTGTGTTGAAGGCACTTAAAGAGCTCTGCATGCTCAAACAAAAATACATCGAATTTTACTAGAGTTCCTAGTTTCATGCGACTCTTCGGTTTGGTTTTTCTTTTCCCAAATAGCATTGTGTCTTGGGTGGATTAAATTTCTTTGAATGCCTTGGACTTCTTTTTCTTACTAAATCTCCCTCATTCTAAGCAAAATAAAAGCAGAGTTGTTCCCCACCCTGTTGCAGAATTCTCCATTTTTGATACCTGTGATTCCCTTTGCACACTCATTTTTTAGTATAAAACCTCTCTTTCTGTACAAGTGACAAAATACTTTAATAAAATTAAAAAAAAGTAAACAAGCTGTCCAGGCCTCAGGTTGAATCCTGTGAATCCTTTAACATATATTTCACAGAATGTTAAATAGTGCTACCCCTAACATTTTGCTAGGGAGCTGGCAAAGGTGTGGGTCTTCTGCAAAGGCAGGTTTCTAGTGGCTTTAATCTAGTAAAAAAGCTTGGAAGGAAGAAGTATTATCGTGACCGCGTGTTTTGTAAATTGTAAAAGCGTCAGATCTCTGTTTGCATGTTTGCAGGTGATTTCAAGTGCCCCATCAAAGAGGAGATAGCGATCACCAGTGGAGAGTGGGAAGTGCTTGGCAGACACGGATCCAACGTGAGTCTCTGCTCTTGCTGTGGGGATATCCTGCAGGGAGACGGCCTCCGGGGCCTCACAGATCAGTACATGTCGTATTTGTGAGGCTCTGCTCCCTGAGAAGAGTGGCCTCTGCCACTCCCTGATGCTGAGTTTGACTGCATGGATCCTGTGGGCTTTTTTTGGTGGACCTTCATCCTTCACTGCCTCTGACATGCTGTTCTGGAGGTATTGCAGAGCTGGCGATTTTGACGGTGTGGGAAAGCAACACAGGCAACATTAGCTGGCTTGCTTTTAGAATCATTAAGGTTAGAAAAGACCTCTAAGATCATTAAGTCGAACTGTCAACCCAGCACTGCCGTGACCACTAAACCGTGTCCCAGAGTGCCACATCTGCAGAGTTTTTTAGCAGAGCAGGCAATAGGCGAGACTGGCAAGAGTGAAGGACCTGCAATGTAAAGCTGATAAACAAGGTGGGGATGGTAGAACTGTGTATTGTTTTGTCAAGAAACAGGATTGAGGGGATGTGTTGGGGTTTTTTTTTTTTTTGGTTTTGGCAGATCTATGTGGATGAAGCCAAAAAACTGGTGTACTTCCAAGGCACGAAAGACTCGCCTTTAGAGCATCACTTGTATGTTGTTAACTACGAGAATCCTGGAGAAGTCAAGCGCCTGACAGAACGCGGTTACTCTCACGCCTGCTGTGTCAGCCAGGTACCTGTTTGCCTGTGAGGCCCTGCCTAGGCAGGACTGGCTGGTTTGTGCTGTGGCTTGTCACAGGTCTTGTCCTCCATCAATCAGCAGACAAAGGTGTATCTGAATGTAACAAAAGGAAATTTTACACATCGCCTGAGGAGATGAGCCTGTGTCAGGTGGGGTTCCGTACATCTGGGACAGCTAGGAATGCGTCACCCAGAAGAGGATGTGTGGCAAGGTCCTCATGCCACTGTTGGTTTTACAGGTGTAATTTTGGCTTTGGAGTGTAAATGTCTGAGTCTTGCTAAGGACTGTAGCTTCTTAGAGTCTGTTTGCTGTTATCGAAACATTCAGACTTCCTGGTTTAATTTGGTCTGTAAACACCTTCAGAAAGATCTAAATGCAGAAAGAAATGACCACTTGCTTGTGCCTCTGCATGGAGGAGTTCAAGGTAATGTTCTTTTTCTCCCTAGGATTGTGACATGTTCATCAGCAAGTACAGTAATCAGAAGAACCCGCACTGTGTGTCACTTTACCGACTGACAGGACTTGAAGATGATGCAGCTCACAGGACAAAGGAATTCTGGGCCACCATTTTAGATTCAGCAGGTAGTGGCATGAACGGGAAAGTGGAAAAGGACAACCAGAGCCACAGAGTGAAAGATGCCCCAGAATATGCTCGCTTGAGATTTGCTGTTGTGGGTGACTGGACTTGTCTCTGAAACTCACGCTTGTGTGAGGAGTCCTTGGAAGTACAGGAGTGACATTTACAGCTCAGGAACAAATGGGGATAAGCTGGCCCTGAAGGAATTTAGAGTGGAAATTGCCAAGTTTCGACTGCCAGAGCCAGTAGAAACTGTAGGCAGACGGTTTTAGCATTGGGGGAGGGATTTAAGTGCAGTCATTTGCTCTGTGCTGCGTGCCTGTTAACGAGCATGCTTCTGGGGAGGGCTGTGCACTTCTTGTTGTGTGCTCTGCTTACTCGTGTCTTTGTGAGACGGCTCTTGGGACTTTTTTTTTTCCATTGCGTTTCTGTTGTCTTTCATCTCTCCTTCCCTGAGGCAGCATACTCCAGATGCTTTCCATGTATTAATGCAGTGAGTCAGAAGTGGGGTTAGGAAGGGTGTGAAACCTGTAGCGGCAGTGTCCGGGGAGCAGAGTTACTGCTGTTCCCAGGAGAGAAGGGATGGGAAGCGATGAGAAAGCTCGCCTATGGCCAGAGCATTCCCAGGCTCTGCCCGGTACCAGCCACATCCACTGGAAAGTGTGGAAGAGCTCCACTGGGACTGCAGTGAGATCCATGATCATAGAATCATTAAGGTTGGAAAAGACCTTTAAGATCATCTAGTCCAACCGTCAACCCAACACTACCACGGCCACTAAACCATGTCCCAAAATGCCACATCTACACATTTTTAGAACACTTCCAGAGATGACAGGGCTGAAGCAGAGCTGTGTTATTCATCGATTCCCTTTTAAACCAGGCTCTCTGTCCTGTGGCAGGCCCTCTTCCTGATTACATCCCCCCAGAAGTGTTCTCCTTCGAAAGCTCCACGGGGTTTACTCTCTATGGAATGATGTACAAACCTCACAATCTACAGCCTGGAAAGAAGTACCCCACTGTGCTCTTCATCTACGGAGGCCCTCAGGTGAGTGTGGCATGCTGGTGGGCAGCGGGGCGGGCAGGCCTGCGTCACTCCACTGCTCCCTTGCACGAACGGTTCCTGCTCCATGCTGAAGGTTTTACATCCAGGGTTTTGCCTGTTTGGTGAGGAGCCGCGTGGCCGAAGGCGCTGTTAAGCGGTTGTGATTTCCAGGTAATAGATTGAGGCACTGCCACGTGTCTGAGAAGAGGTATGGAGTAGCAGAACTGGAACTGCGAGAAGGGGGATGCAGATAATCCTCTTTCCGTGTTCTGCCTGACCCTCTTCCATAGGGGCTCCTGTTCTTTGTTTCCACTTTTCCCATGTGTGTGTGAGGGGAGTTCTGTGTTAGCACTGGCTGTTACCCGTGTGGGCCGAGGAGCGCTTGCTCCCCAGTCGTCCTTCTCCCACTTAGTCCTGTTTTGATTCTCCCAACTCTACTGTGCTTGGCTACAATCCGAGGCAGCTGGAGTGAGACTTTGTGAAGGGAAAGATCTTCTTCTGGGAAAGAGCAGAGGGAGCGAAGAGCAGAGCTGTGGGCTTAGGGTTGGATCGTGCAGTCAGCAGCCGTCCCTCTCGCTCCGTGTCTGTTGCCCTCAGCTCAGCTCTGTCACACAGAGTGGCTTGTTACTGGGCGAGGAGAGTTTATTTCATAGCAGGGAGAGGGATCTTGAAAACATTACGTTATAAAAATGTACAGAACGTTTCAAGGAAGGTAAATATAAATAAAAGCTGAGATTGGATTGAAGCGATGACGTCTGGATTCCGTTACATACATGGTTCTGTTGTTGCTCTTTGATTCCAGGTGCAGCTGGTGAACAATCGCTTTAAAGGAATCAAGTATTTCCGTTTGAACACTTTGGCCTCTTTAGGCTACGTTGTTGTTGTCATTGACAACAGGGGGTCCTGTCACCGAGGGCTGAAGTTTGAAGGAGCCTTTAAGTACAAAATGGTAAGTGGGGCTCTGAGCATGGAGCTCCTACCTGAGCTGGAGCGCTCATTTGGCACAGATGCCCAGCATCGTCTGGGAGATGCTGCCTGGGTTTGGGAAGGGGAACTGCGTGTGGCAGAGCAGCGTGAATGTGAGGGAGGAGAGACTCTCCACAGGGTAAAGTTGTCAGGGTTTGAAAAGGATAGTTAAGAGGTGGGTTGGCATGTATTTATGGTCTTACGGGGGAAAGAGGTCATCTTTCTCTAACACACTTAGCACAGTGGCACGCTGCTCTGTGCTTGGGTGCTGCAGAAACAGAAAGTAGTAAAAGTCTGAATGTGGTTACCTTTGGAAATCCTGAAAGTGTAACTTTTGTCTGCAACTAACAAGACTTAACCGTTTTCTCTGCCCTCCCAGGGACAAATAGAAATTGATGACCAGGTGGAAGGGCTGCAGTATTTAGCATCCCAGTACGACTTCATTGATTTGGATCGTGTTGGCATTCATGGCTGGTCCTACGGAGGCTACCTCTCTCTTATGGCTTTAATGCAGAGGTCAGATATCTTCAGGGTATGTTCCTACACTGATTACTTATTCTGGTGGCGCAGACAGAATTTTCCCCCTAATCGTGTAACCTCTCATGGGTGTTCACAGCACAAAGACTTTCGAGCGTGCTCTAGACGAGTGAGGACACAGTGCTATAGCTGTTTTCTTCATGACTTTTCTGTTTGGGTGACTTGGGAGAGAAATTGCTTTTCTAACAACCATTTCTTCCATGATATTTCTAATTAGACTTCCAGACTTTGGTTATTTTTTGATACTTCACAGATAACTGATCTGAAAATCTATTCTGTGATTCACTTTTTAAAGCTACTGCTTGCTAGCAAGCCACGGTACCTTTTAAAACCAGCAGTCAGTGGGTATCGTAAGAGTAGTTATAAGTTGTTATGTGACCGTGAGTTGTCTCCTCAGTTCACTTGTGTTTCTGTGTGAAGCACAGGGATAAGATGTTCTTCCTTTGTAAGCCCGTTGTCGCGGCTGGAGGTGTCTGGGACTGGTATTCGCTGTGAGTCTGTACTAGTACAGCTGTGGGACTCGGCTTTTCAGACAGCAATAGCAGTACAGCCCCAGTACTTAACGCTAACAGAGATGCCTCAAATCAGAAAATTGCATTTGTGCAATTAAGTGCTGTGCTTTCCTACCCCTCCACACAAAATCACAGGAGAGCGTGGTGTTCTTATTTGAGCATAACCACTCCAAAGAGCGTGGTGTGACTGCACCGTCACCGTGCTTGCTTCCACCAGCTCCAGATGAGCCAGACCTTATCCTGGCCTGACAGGAAGGTGTGGCGCTGTCTGTGACACCTCCTGCATTAACGCGAACAGGGTGCTTTTACGCAGAACGGAGTTGCCATCGGAGAAGTCTGGCGTGGAGGAGGAGTGTGGGTCTGTGTAGGTAGGCCAGTTGTACTGGAATATCTGAGAGCCTGTTCTTGGGAGCTGGGATGAGGAGGAACAACTGTTCACCCCATTCAGCTGAGCACAGAGAGGTATTCCCTGTCTGGAACTGCATAAAAGAGCTTTAAATTGTTGCACTGTTGAGCTTGCAATAACTGTGCTGGAATAGCTACACCAGTCTCAGGTCACCTATGCTGAAAGTACCTTATATAGTCTCTGCTGTTGCCTCATTTGTGTCAGCTGAGCTTTTTGTGCTGTTAACTAACTAAGGGAAGTGGTCCTGCTGCAGAACAACACCTCCTTCTCTTCCTCCTTCCTTCTGCCCTGCCCTGAGAGAACGGTTTCTTTGCAGATCTGTTCCCAGATCAAACTGCCCGTGCTGCTTCCTAGAGTGTGTTCAGAAGCAGCCAGCAGGGCAGCCTGGGGATAGGGAGAGGTGCTGAGAAGAGGGTTTGGGGATGATGTGACTTCAGACCACTGTAGCAAATGGCCAGATTGCTGTTGGGCAAACCTCAAAAGTAGAGATGTGGCAGGAGCTGGATATTCTTCTTGGGATGTGTTTTTGTTCTTTGTGGCTGCTCTTGCTTTGTCTAAGTCCAACAAGAATGTTCCTGGGAGGTTTAATAATTACTTGTCTCAAGTCCTTAAGGATTATTATATTTTTCCTTTAAAAATACCTGACTTGCAAAGGGATTTTGGTGTGGGTTTTGTTTGTTTGTTTTTCTCATCGGTCTTGTTTCCATAAGCCGCTCTGCAAGCTGGCAGTAGCTTTGTGAGGTAGTTTGCCGAGTTCCAGGGAGGTACCCATCCCCATCGCTATTAGGCATTCAAATAGACAGCGCTTTGCATCCCAAAACCTGAGCATTTTGGACAAAATCCCTTTCCCTCGGCAGGCTTTGCAGTTGAGATATTTAGTGTTGTTTCTGATTTGTCTGCAGGATCTTCCTCACTTTCAGCAGCTGCATTTTTTCCAGCACATAGCTGAGCTGTGCTGATATATGTGAACAGTGGGAAGGAGAGTGAGGATTGCTTTCCTTTTTCCACTGTAGGCTGTGGATCGTAAATGTCTCGACATGTTTTGGGCAATTCTAGCTGCACTGGGACAGAGCTGGGAGGGAGGGAGGGACATCCCCAGAGCAGGGGGTTGGTTGGTTGTTGTCATTCCCGAACCCCATTGAAATTGCAGGTCGCCATTGCCGGAGCACCCGTCACGCTGTGGATTTTCTATGACACTGGCTACACGGAACGCTACATGGGCCACCCGGATCACAACGAGCAGGGGTATTACCTAGGTTCAGTGGCCATGCAAGCCGAGAAGTTTCCTTCTGAGTAAGTTTGGTTTTGACTCTTGCCTTCTGCTTTTCCTACCAGGAAAGTTCAAGCCCCCACAGACGTGTTTTTGCCTCCCTGTTCTTGGCAATTTAGTCTTGGAATCACAAATGCTAGTCTCAAATAATAAACAAATAAATAAATAGAAAGACCAAAATGCAGCACTGAGAGACTTGAATTAACATTTGCATAATTACAGGCCATTCCATGTAATCCCTTTTATCCCAGCTATAATTGAAGACTGTCTTTTATGTCTAAAGAAATAACAAGCATATATTCAATTGTATGATTAGCACTTTAGAGCCACATTAAGCCAGACACAAGTGAGTTGATCAGGAGGCTTTCTGTGTGCTCTAAGGCTGTTTCAGCACAGAGTTGCCTGCAGAGCAGGCCGAGACCGTGGGATTTCTTGCCAAAGAGCTGAAAATCCGCAGTGGTTCTGAGCAAGTATTAAGCCGTTGAATTGTCAAAGATAGGAAATACTTCTGAGAATAAAGAACATCTACAGATAAAAGGTCTGACCATGACGTGCATGTGCACGGAGAACTTTTAGAGGAGGAAGGAATAGGTTTGGGAGACACATCCATCCAGAGCAATTTACAATAGTGAACTCACTGTCTTTAGTGCAAATATTTTTCTTCTGTCGAGTGTCTTTGAAGAGATGTTTGTGGACGGCAAAAAGACTGGCAGGTTCTGAGATGCTGACTAGAAATGTTTGTCTCGCTTTTCTCAGACCAAACCGTTTGCTGCTGCTACATGGATTCTTGGATGAGAATGTTCACTTTGCACACACTAGTATTTTGCTCAGCTTTTTGGTGAGAGCTGGGAAACCGTATGATTTACAGGTAAGGCCAGAAACAGGGTGTAAAGGTATGTGTCTGTCTTTCAGGAGTCCAAAATTGGAACTTGTAACATGGCTGTGCTGGGCAGCTTGGAATGGTAGGATAAAACTGTAATATTTGACCCTAATGTTTTGTTTTGTTTTTTAAAAGAAAGATTTTATGAGTAAACAAAAATAGCATTAAGCAAAGGAGCAGCTAAGGCTGCTCTTGAGAACTGCAGTTTGGAGATAGAGCAGGGTTGTGCATTTAATTAAACCCCGCTCGTTTTGTGCGGATGTAGCTCAGGTATCCCAACCCAAGCTGCAGAACTGGGAGCGTGCAGATTTCCGTGAGGCCTCCAGTTGCCTCCAGCATGGCACCAGCTGGAGTAGAGTGTGCACTGGATTGTCTCTGGGCTCAGGTAGTGGAGGGCGGGGTGTATTAGCTCAAGCACTAACACAGTTAATGCAGGGAGATGATGTGAACATTTTAAATGTCACTCTGGGGATTGGTTTAAACGTTGGTGCCCATGACTCTTGTGGATACTCATGACTTCTTATTTTATATTTCAGATCTACCCTCAGGAGAGACACAGTATAAGGGTGCCCGAGTCAGGAGAGCACTATGAACTCCATCTACTGTATTACCTGCAAGAGAATCTGGGCTCCCGTATTGCTGCCCTGAAGGCGATGTAACCGACCTCTGCACAACTCTGCTCCACTGGCTGCTTCACCGAACGCGGAGACGTAGGGAACCAGAGAAAACAGGATGGAACGTTGCATTTTGGTGCCTGCCACATGTACACACACACACACAGACACTTTTTTTAGAAGTAAATTTGGTGCCATACAGGAAATTAAAGTACAGTGACCTAATAACTTTAAAGCTTAAGCTGTAAATAGAATCAAATGTCTGTGGTATAATGGGGTACCATGGGTGCTCTCTTGGTGGAGGAGCTGAAACTGAAAATAATGTACTTCTACAGCACCGAATCTTCACTTTTTAAAAGCATTATGACATAATTGATGAATTTTTACAGTGTGTTCATTGCTATCTTACTGCATAATACTGGGTGATTTGCTCACTACACAGCAAGAGTTTACCTGAATGGTTACAACTTGTATTACACTGGAAATGCTATCATATAGCTTTTATGCTTCGCAGAAGGGATGTGTCTCCTTAGAAGCTGTTCACAAGTTAGACACATCACCTGCCTAGGTGTTGGTTGTTTTTTTAAGAAGAAATACTTTTAAGCAGCCTCCTAAAGAATTTAAATTTTGGATTTAGTCCAGTTAATGCTAGGTTCTTTTTTAATGATTTCTTCTCTCCCCAGGATGAATCATAGGTTTGGTTTTTTTTTTCTTTCAGCAGCTCGAGTTCCTATCCTGATTGTACTTGATTTCAGCAGGCAAACAAAATGATGTTTTACTGCGATGAGGGCATAACAATCTTTTATTCTGAGATTGAAATGAAATTAAGTTAAAGAGTTGAAACACTGTAAATTTTAAAACAAGCTTAAAAGTGCTGCCCATTTGTCATTGGTGTTTTGCCCAGATGTTCTTTCTGGAGCTGGTTTTCTTCCTGTCACATCAGCGTGACAGAGGTGTAAGCACCCTCTTACGATCTGGAAATTCAGTGCTCTAATTCAAAGGTCTGCAGAGGATTTGGTGAGGAGGGACCTTACGAACGCTACTGAATTTCCTGCTTCATTTGAGGGGCTGTTTCCCAGCCTCGTGCTCTGTTCAGTCCTTCATTCCTGGGTCCTGGCACTGCTGCGTAGTATGATTACGATGCTGTTTTTGGGAACCCTCCCTTCTGCATAACTTAAACTATAAGGACATGCAGCCCCAGTTGTGTTTTTGCCTGTGAGGTTTTAACTAAGCAGCAGGCTTGGCTAAAAAGCAGCATAAGTGCATGAAGTCACTTTTAACTCACGACAGGTCGTTTAGGGTAGAAATCCAAGGCAAAATGATTCTCTTTAATCCAGGAAATTCACCCCTTGGGGCTTGCCTCTGAGACTCCTATAAGTTTTCACGGTTTTTTTAGAAACTTAAGAACTTCCTTTCCTTTCTGTTTTGGTGCTAGAGAGAAGGCAGAGCATGACTTTCTTTTCATCTTCGAAAAATCTGGAATCACTCTCGGTGTTTACGCTCTTAGTACTCTACATGTTGTAACCTTGCTTTCCCTTGCTTTTGTACTGTTCCGCTTGATCCTGAAACTCTGGGGTTTAACACAATCTGCCTGTTTTGTATCAAACCGCATCGTTTTTCAGTGAGGCTGCTGGGCACACGCCCCGAAGCTGTCAGAGCTGGTACAGTTACACGGTTGTAAAATCTGTATGCGTGAAAGGGATCCGTTTTTTCTTTTCCTGAGTTTCCCAAAAGACAGCCAAAGCAAACAGGCACGGGCAGCAAATGCAAATTTCGAGGGGTGTTTGGTTTGGGCCGTTTTTCTGGTTTTCAGATCACGATGGTTACAAGCCGGTTGGTTAAAATACCAGCAAGAGGCTTGTGGTTTGATTTTTGGGAAGGGCACAGCAGGGAAGGAGCCCAGCTCCTCTAATGTCTTCTCTTTAGTAGTTCGTGTTGTGACTGAAGCGAACGTGGCGTCCCCACGGAGCGTGCTAGAGCCAGTCTTGAGACACGGGTACATGTGCGGGTGCGTTTGGACTAGAACAACAGGACAGTGAGTAGAGACAAAGATAAGCTGTTATTAGGGAATTCTGATGTGTTCCTTCTGTATTGATGCTGTATTATATATACATATATCTATATCTGTTCATATATACATATATGTATAAAATTACACGTGGATAGTATCGCCTTTTCCAAGGTTGTTTATATTTTGTTAAATTAACTTGCTTTTCGGGATGGTTTTGTTCTTTTTTTCTAGAGGTGATTACCCTTGAATGTAAATGTATGTGATTTTTAAGATGAAACTGATCCTTTTGTTTAAAAAAGAAAAACAGAAAAAAATGGCCTTCATCAAACAGTGCTTTTCTGGGAACTGAAGAACTAAATGTTATGCAGGTAAACCAGGCTAGGTTTTGATTTAGCACAGGATGTGATGATGAGTGCTGACATAAAACCTTTTAATAATGCATCCTTCCATTGTTTTAAATATATATATATAAGCTATTAAAGTCCAACGTACTGTATGTACTCTATTTTGCAACATAAATTATGCATTTCTTTCCTGCGGTTTTTTTTTCTTTATATGGCAGTTAAGCACTTTAACACCACATGCTCTCTTATCCTGTGTAAATGCTGGGAGGAGGGTTCACCACCGGAGTTCTGTAGTTCTTGCAAAAGGTGCCTGCTCGTAGGGGAAGGTGTGAGAGATGTCTTACAGGAGGTTTGATCCAGCCCTACGCAGTCAACGACTAAATTCCCAGTGACACAGAAAGAAGCGCAACCGAGAGCTGAGGTAGGAAGTTGTTAGTGCTGAGGACTGTTGCATCAGTATTTTTGGGGGGAGTAGCAGTCCTGCGCCTCGTGTAGTGAAGGGTTAGTCTGGCCCAGGAGTGGAGCTGGCGTGGAGAGGGGTGACTCTGCCCTGCTGGAGTCACCCGCTCCAGGACAAGGTCGTACCTTGTAGTCCAGGAGATGGTGGTGTCTCTCAAGTAGAAGTTTCCAGCCTATTTGGGATTATTGTCACTTCCAGCATGTCAAAAGCATCTTGGTTAACATGAGTTTTAAGGAAAACCAGCGAGATCCTGGGGGAGAACGTTCAAGCAGGTCAGTCTGCGGAGCGAACATCTGGGAGGAGGAACCGTCCCTGTTGCTCCCAGAACAGCCGTTAGCGCGTCCCTTTGGAGGATCTGCCTTGAGCAGAGATCTGCTCCGTGCAGGACGCCTGCTCTGAGCAGGAGCCAGGCTGAGCCTTCATTGCGTGGTGGATATGAGTTGCACAGGTGTCTTTGAGATGAATGTTTTAATTCCATACACTAAAAAAAAAAAAAATGTGTGAAATACAGGGGTCTGAGTGATGAGATACGGAAGTTGCTGAGTGTTGATGCCAGCAATTTCTTCTCGTTTGCAGTGGTTGGGACCGATCGTGCTTGTTTCTGGTGGGAGCACGTTCTTTTGCCTTAGTCCCCTTGCGTGTGCAAGGTGCAAAGCTGTCGGGTTTCACCCTGCGCCTTGGAGTTGCACCCCATATCCCCCTTTATTTTCAACTGTCTTTTGATTCAGAACAAAGCAGAGTTAGTATCTACCCAGAACTCCTTCGTTTTTATAAACTCAGTGAGATAATGACTTCAGAGCACCAAGTAAAGCTTTGAAAAAATAACTGACTTCATTATGTTAGAATGGAAAATGCATTCCATTTGGAAATAGGCTGTGGAAATACTTTCCGAGCGGCATGTCGTGACGCTTTAACCCTGCAGCACTGTATGCCTCAGCCTGGGTGGTGAATTACAGAGAATTCACCAACTCTGAGCCCAGTGGTCCCAACCCTTATTCCCTACCAGAAAAAGCGAGTTGTGTTTCTGCTGTGTGTGTCCGTGTGTAGGGCAGGCTGTTCTGCTGCTGGCAGAATGCTCAACTTTTGACGAGGCAATAATAAAGAGTATAAATAAATGAAATAATCAGCCGGATGAGGACACTGCCTTGAATTGCCTGTTTACTTGAGTACCAGAACCTTGCAACAACTTTTTGTGTGTCCCTCACAGTTCTCCGGGCTGCTCCTTTGGAAGGAGAAGAGAGATCTTCATGCGGTTTTTACTTGGATGTTCTGCACAGTAGAAGTTCAGGTGTTTAATTTTAGAACATGAAGTGCCTGCTGTTTGCGTTAACAAAATTGCATGTCTCACTCCAGTGGGTTTATTGGTCTCCCTCCCTCCCCCACCTTTCTAGCTACATGGCTTTTAATCCTGTAAAGTGGAGACATTAGTTTTGCTGCATTTTATTACAAAACCTTTGTTGCAATAAAGATGCTGCTAAATAAATTGAATTAAATGTTTGGGGTTTTTTTCCCTCCCGATTTTCAGCTGTCTCTCTTCTTGATTGAATAGAGTATGTGTGTAATTAAATCTCTTCCCTCGTTGCTCTGGGGAAAGCAGCCCTTGGCAGCCACCAGCCGGAGCTGTCGCCCCCCAGCCGGAGCTGTCGCGCCGGGTACGCCTCAGCCGCGGCTTCGCTGGCCGAGATGGGCCAAGGCCATCGGGAGGAGGTGGCCCTGGCGCCGAGGCAGAAGGACAGAGCAGCCCGGGTGTAATGGACTGGCTCTGCCGAGAGAAGAGATGTCTCTTTGTGTTGTTGCCTCATGCTTGGCCTCGCGTATGTCTTTGTGAGCAGCGGGGGCTTTGCAGGCACCCCGATTCCACTTGGTGCTGTCCCAGAAGGGTGGCGGGGGGTGGCTCAGGATGGTCACGAGTCATGTTTTTACTCATTTATTCCTGATTTTTCACCCACAGGGAAGCGCCCTGTTTTGGTGGCTTTCAGAAATAAGCTGGTCACCAGCCACGTGTTGATGTGTTGCCCTGTGCCTTTCTGGGTTTGTGTAGGCCCTACCGTAACGCAGCAAAGCTTCCCCGGGAGCTCTCGACAGCCCTTGTGCGATGCAGGCTGGGACACGGGTGTGACACCAGTGACCAGCCGGGGGCTTTTGGGTTGTGGCTGGGGGTGGGACTGGGTGCGGAACTGTGCCTTCATCTCTAGGGAGCAGGGAGGGAGGTTTCTTCACGTGCTGTTGTGCCTGGAAGATTTTATTACGGCAAAGCATTTCTGTCCTTTTCCAGGTGCCCCAAGGCCTTGCGATGCCCCATAGTTTGGGGTGGGACAAGCAAGGTGAGCTACAACCAGCCTGCAGCTGTCCCTTCCATAGTCGTTGAACCTGGAGGAATCAAGGTGAGCTTTCAGCAGCGTCATTTAATATACACTCTGGCAGTTCTTTGTGCCAGTCAGAAATAACGACGTG